TCGTTTCTTTGTTTCGAAAATGCAGAACCCTGCTTCTAGCAATGCTGCAAGATAAATCAACGAAAAAAATTTGGAAATATATTCAAAACTGGTAGCGCCATCTGTTAACAGATGTGGTGTAGTTACAAAATTTTCAAAATTTGATCCGCGTAATCCGCGAATTCTCAAAATAAATCCTCGACTTCAAATACTAACCGACGACAAATAAAAACCTGTTTCATTGCCTAAAAATACCATTTGTATCACTACTACATGGCATTTCAAGCTCATTGCCTGCCCGCAACTTAGTGTTCTTTGAAGCACTTCCACATTTTAATTGAGAGCTTTCTATGGCGAAGGAAGTCGACAAATTTTCAACCCGAAAAATCGAAAGACCGGACGGGAATCGAACCAGCATGGACGTGCTTGATAGCTGCGCATTTACCGACTGAGCTAACCATGTATCATCTTCAGCTATTTATGTTCTTTGTAGTGTAAATTCGGAGTATTTAAAAAACATAATAACATATGAGATTCTGAGATTCTATTGAATAAAAGTAGCGTAGCTTTTCTGAAACTTTTTTTAAAAAATGTATGCATTTTAATTTGAAATGCAAATTAACTTGAAAATGATTAACATTCAAATTCCAATAAAAAACGAATTACCATTAAATTGAGGTTTTTATTTTTAAGAAAAATAATACTGAGAATAATTCGTCTTAGGAGTCCTTCACATCAGTTTTAAGAAAATGTTTACGGTTATTCTAAGGAAAATTTCAAGGGAATTGAATTCAGAATTCCGCGGATAGGTGTAACAAAAGTTTGAGCAAAATTTCTAAGGAATTCTGAGGAAAATTCAACAGAGAGTAGTTTCAAGAAAACATGGAGATTCTGAGCAAAACTAAAATGGAATTCATATGGTAAATCAGTAAGTTTCAGAACTATGCAAACATCTTAAATATCTTGCCGTCGGGCCTTCTTATGTCTTCGTCATCTTTTCTTGTGAATCTATTTAATATGAAATTGAAGAAACGTTTCAGTTGATTCTTATGCAGGGTGTGTAAAAATTCCTGAGTTTTCCAGGTTTTTGCAGCACTTTTTTGATGATTTCCATGTTTATAGGAAAGCTGTTTTCTAATTGCGTTAAAAATATGTTATTTTTGGTAAAACAACACCTTATTTCCAATCAATCGATTTCAAGACATGACAATTAGTTTTGAAATCAAAGCCATTAAAGGTTGAAGTTTATCATTTACTCAAGGCTAAGATTGCATAAGCAGGGTGTCAACTCAACGAAGAAAACAAAATTCCCTGATATTCCCTGATTTTTCAGTAATTCCTAAAATTCATCCTTTCTTCGAATTTTAAACTCTTTCCAAGAATTCAGTGGAGCTTAATTTTTTTTATTTTACATGAAATTCTCCGTATAATTCACCTCAGACCAACAATTGAAAAGGGCATATTCGCTTTTGTGAGCAAAACTTGTAATCCCCCTTCCCCGCCAACACCATCTGGCAGGGGAAATTCTCCCGCCGAGAATTGTCTTAAAATTTTGCTGAGAATTATCTCGGAGTTCTCCTCTAAATTCTTCTGAAAATTGCATAGAATTCTCATTAACATTCTCTAGAAATTGCCTTTCGAAATGCACTTGGAATTATACTCGGACTATCCTTTTAGATCTTCGCATAATTATTTTGGGATTGTACTCTCAAAATTCGCGTTCCTTGGTATTTTTCAAGAATCCTACAATCCTCTTCACTCTTGGGCGATCCAGTAAAAGCTCTCCTAGATTCTAAAATTCTCTTAATAGTTCTTCAAAGTGACTGTAGTTATCTTGAAAATTTAGACCAGTCCAAGGGTTTTAAAATCTTATTGTTTTCGAAGAGAGGACGAGGTATATTTTTCCAGATTTGTCAACTAAGTTTATGGGATTTTCCCGGTGACATCAAATTCCAGCTTGTTCAGGTTTACCCGGTTCACCCGGTTCACATATGAAACACTTGTTTTTAATCCCATTATATTTGTTTTGTCTTGAGTACATTTTGAGACCCAGCTCTGTAAGAAAATTATTCCGGATAATATGAATAACCAAAAACTAATTCGCGGGCGGATTCCTCCGGTGGGAAATAGAAAAACAACGCTTTCATCTCGAAAATTCTGTAACTTAATTCCATTTAAATTGCAATAGCAGCAATATTACCATACTAAAACTTTACTGTGAACATAATTTTACGAGCTAACCAGGTTTGCAATGAAGACCTAGAATACTCAATACAGCCACTCTATGCTGTCAAGGCAATGTTTGTCTACGTATCTTTGCATCATTATTCAATCATGAAAGTGCTGCTTCAAGCAATCAAAAAAATAATCTCCCAAGCAAAACCATTACCCTAAATTCTCATTTAGTTACTTCTCTGAGCTAATCAAGCTGTTAAGAACACAATAAGAAACAAGTACTAGAAGTATTCAGAAAACAATCATTATCTTCTCTTAAAGCTGGGTTTAGACAAGGCAAGACTATTGATCAACTCAGTTGAATTCAACTGACTTGAACGTGTAAACTACTATGCCATTTAACTGACTTGAATTGAAAAAAGTTGAACCAGACTCAACTTTTCAAGCCAATTGAATTCAACTGAGTTTATCAATGACTTGCTTTATCTAAGCCCAGCTTAACTCTTAATCATTCTTGCATTTACTCAAAAGCGCTCCAATGCGCTCAAGGGATTGATTTTTGTTGGACACATCTGGATCGAACAGACGCAGTAACTAGTATTTGAGTAACTTTTGCTAGATCTAAGTACTGGTCGCAGTGATCAAAATACCCAACACGGAAAAAGAACTTTTGCTCCACTTGCAAAAATGCAACATCAAGCTTTAAACAACCCCAACTTCGCAAATCTATTTAAAATTTGAAATTGAAAACCATCCTTCAATTACAACGAGTAATTAAGTTGTTTGAAACTAGCGAAGTCAGCCATACTTATTAATATGATTCTGTTCTGATTGTTCTGACTTTGAATTAAATTCCCTGGCAATCCCTGATTTTCCAGGCCCAAAAAGGAATTCCCTGATATTCCCTGATTTTTCAGGTTTTTTCCCAGGTAGTCGACAACCTGATAAGGCTTTGACCTTAATGTTTCTAACTCTAAGTCCAAGATCTTGAAAATTTCCAAAGTGCCAAAATCCCTGCATGAGAATCAGCTAAAACGTTGCTTCAATTTCATTAAATAAATTCACAAGAGAAGATGACGAATAAGAAGCTCCGATAGTTTCAAAAATTTACTGATTTGTTACAAGTTCTTAACATCATTTAAACTACTTTGACATAAAGTTATGTTAACTGTCAAAATACCAAACCTGTGTCGATGCCGTAAAACGTTGCCGTGAAACGTGCTTGATTTTAGCATCGCAACATATTTTGCAGATTTCAATTGCAATATTGTATTGGGCATTTCCATCCAGCCCAACACGCAACCGATTGGACATAAGTGTTTCCGATTTGAATGAAAAATTACTCATACTCATGTGTTCGCTGCTACCAATGGTTTCATTTTCCATTTAAATATGATTTTTTCTTCACAGTAACTTTTGAAAAGGGCCTTTTAAAAAAATAGATTATATTTTTTCAAAAAAATATAAGATGAAAACTATTGATCTGATCAAAATGACATCTGAGTAGAAGTTGTAGGTAGTTAAATTATCTTTGATGAAAAAATCAAGAAAACTGAAGGAAGAGCAAACAAGTTTATAAGTAAATACTCTTCAATATACCCAAATAATTAACACACCCTCTAATGTGCCTTTTTTCAGTCCTCTATTAGTGTCCTAACAGAGGCAAAAAGTATAAACAGTTAAACAAATATTATATTGAACCTGTATTTGAGATAAATTCTCTAGGCACTTCTCTGACGTTTACCATATTGTGCCTAGGAGCTCATCCCATAGAGAATCTCCTAGTACAATCTCACAAACACCAATCGAAGATGGACTGAGAGCAGCGTTAGTAGGAACAGTTGTGAAATTCTACGAAGACTAGCAGAGTGATGCCAGGCCAAAGAGATTATGTGTCTGTAGTGACGGGTGGTGTAATATAAAAAACGTCTACTAACGATGTCGCGAAATGCAACCATTGGTAGCAGCGAACATGTTTCATTCAAATCGGAAGGGTTCGAGACAAAATTTAATTTTTTTAGCGTTTTAGACTGGAAATGCGCTATTTAAATTAAATACTGCATTTCCAGATTTCAATTCCAATATATAAGTTTAAAATATAATCATTCTGCCCTGGTAATCATACTTCCAGATATTTTGCTATTAATAATGGAAACTTGAATAAAACTGTATGAATTCTCAAAAACCTGGATGATTTCAAACTTTCATTGTTTGACTCGAAAAAAGTGGAAGAATCCAGTTTAAACTGGATCGTTGAAATCACTGCTCTGTACATCATAATACACGATAAAAATAAAAGGACCAAACCGCTCAGTTAATTTTCACGGCTGAAAGCTCAAATCAGCGACAAATCAGCGCAAATCGCGAAATACGCGAAATCCACACCTGTTGAAACACCCCTGCAGATACCGCCCGAAAAGCAATCCAATGCTCTTTTTCGGTCTGAGCTGCTTAGTAATTCCCAAAATGACATTAGAATTTTCCAGACTGTAAAACAACAAAATTTTCCAGTAGACAGCGCCCCTTACCGTGCACGTCACTGGCCAACAACGATGTGAATTTGAACTCTTGAAGCGCACACTGGTTGCGGGCAGCATACCAAGCAAAAGTGCGCCTCAAGTTAGAGGGAATTTGAACCACTTAATTGCCACACACCTTTGCAGTCGACTCAAGGCAACGAAGTGTGTAAGGAAGGTACGCACATATTGGACCCAATTCTGAACTGCTATCGATGCCAATGGGGGAGAGAATTGCCTTCCCTACCCGTAGTCTATTATCGAATGTAAAAATACGCGACCGCGAAACACAAAAAGGAAGAAATGCTATATATAAGTAAGAACTCATACATTTGTTTTATGAATCCGCAAACTGCCGTTACTTTCAGTCAGTCATCCAAACTGACACACCAGTCAGATTACACAATAACAAATGGCACAACACTAGGAGCGGCGCTGCTTTTCGGTTTGTTGCTACACGCACGCGAAAAAGGTATCAACCAGGCGTCGTCGTTAAAAGATCACGCCGTCACTCATAACGATCATCGAACTAAATCACTAAACTCTTCACGTTCGCTATATTTAGTCACTAAAGTCCGAGCTTCCTCTTTCCATGGCAACTTTCATCAGCAAACTGCGGTGGCCGTCAACTCCAATCCAGCCACTTTGTTCACTATAGACTAGGCGCAAGCACCAGCTCGATTCACACGAAACGTGCAACAAAGTCAGCCAATGTTAAGGTGAACCGCACAACTCCGACGCTTTGTTAGTGGTCATGTTTGGACTCAGCGAAACTAATCACACTCTTTGATGCTGCACTGTCTGTAATCACCTATCTCGCGCCGCGGGGGAAAGAGAGGTTCTGTATCATCACGCGATGGAATACTCTACCCTGCTCTACTCAACAGACAACAGCACCGGGAGGAAGCCAGCGACTACGTAGCGCTGGTGGCAGTTACCGTCCGTATACTATTAATCGACTCCTCGAAAGTCAAAATCAAACGAACGAACGAAAACAAAAAAAAACAAGCCGCGCGCCCGCGTGAACTTTGCACGCGTTCAAGCCTAATCTCTGACCAGTGAAACGCGTCCGTAGCGATCAGCTTTCAAACCTGCACTGCTAAATTATCAGTCAACCTACAGCGCGCGGGTTAGCAATATGGACGCGATTTCGCGACTCCGGTTACTTTACACCACACGTGCGCGGGTGCGGGACGGGGCGGGGTTGTGATGATGTGTGGCAATCAGCGGTCACTTCGGCGGCGCGGTGGCACGTCGTCATTGACGACTATCGACCGAACGGCAGACCGACCGAGCGAATCTTCGGTTGCTCTGTGTTCATAAACTAAATAAATACTAGGACAGCTTTTGCGAAGTTGTTTCGCGAAAATATGCGTGTGTGCGAAATCCGCTGGCAGAGGTGTAGCAGGGGTACCCCGTGCCAGGGAAATCTACCCGTAGAGTAAAGCGGGGCAAGAGTACGCACTTGGTTTTAAAATTCATGTATCTTTTTTACCGTAACATCAAATTTTAGTTTTAACCTTGAGTCGATTCCTTGACTATTTGGCTACCCTTATCGAAAAATAATGACATTTTTTTTTTAAATTGTTGGTTAAGTAAAAGGGTTGAGAAGCTACTCAACAGAATTCTTCAAATAGATTCATGAGTCTCTATTACGAGTACATGACGCTGGAGATTGACCCTTCTTCATACACGACGAATGAGAACGACCCAAATTTGAGTTTAGTTCACTCATAATCGCCAAAAGTGCAGGAACTCAGCGATGAGTAAAATTTGTCTCATGATTTCCTGTGGAAAACCTAAAAAATCTGCCGGAAAATGAGGAAATTGATGAAAATTTTATTCAGTCTCGGAGTAGTACCAATAGACTGAGTGAATCCAATCTTTACTTTCCTCAAATTCGGGAATTTTTCCCTGGAAAGTCCTGGAAAAACCTGGGAAAACATGAGGCAAATTTACTCATCGCTGAGTTCCTGCACTTTATGTGATTTATGAGTGGACTAAACTCAAATTTGGGCCGTTCTCATTCGCCGTGTACAATTCCAATCGTGTTTGCCTCCAAGACTTTTACAATTCCTCTGTAAATATTGATCTAACCATGTTTCAAGAAATCCGTGGACCAGATCACCATCGGTCGATGGTTGTTCCCTTAATTTTTGCTAACAAGTACCACCATGTCAGTAACAATAGGAGTTTTTTCACAGATGGGTCAACTATAAACGCTTTCACTGGATTTGGAGTATTCAACGAACTTCATAGCGCCTCATATCAACTTCAAAACCCCTGTTCCGTATGCGTTGCAGCCATATTCTACGCAGTAGAGCAAATTGCCCCAATACCCTCTGATCACTATTTCATTTTTACGGATGGCCTTAGCTCGTTGGAGGCTATTCGTTCAATGAGGCCGATGATGCACTCCTCGAATTTCCTGGCCGAAATCCGAGCCAATTTGAGTACTTCATCTAACTGCTCCTTTACCATCACTTTATTTTGGGTCCGATCTCATTGCTCTATTCCGGGTAACGAGAAAGCAGACTCGTTGGCTAAAGTGGGCGCATGGAAGGCGATATTTTTGATCGACAAATCGCCTTTGCGAAATTTTTCTCAATTACCCGTCAGGAAGTCCTCACCAACTGGCAACAAAAATGGAATGGACGGTAGTCTAGGAAGATGGTTACATTCTATTCTTCCGCAGGTGTCGAACAAGCCGTGGTTCAAAGGGTTGAACATGAGCCGTGACTTTATACGTGTCATGTCGAGGCCAGGGCTGGCAAATGTCATTTGCAATGAAAGATCTCACGCAATATTTACAGAGATACTTATGTCGCCATCATCTGATGAGAAAACGATGATTGAGATTTTCTTCAAAATCTCATCGATTTTTTTGCCATGGCAAAACGTGACAGTGTTGTGAATATCGCAATTACTAGCTCATTTATTGATATTATTGTTACCTGTACCGCGGAAATCTTAAAAATATATTCTCTCTACCGATTATATACTGTTTCATGCCTAAATTCATCTAAATCAGTTAGATACTTTGATGTCAAAACCGCATGAGAATTATTCCCATGAGCGCTTGGTCATTGCAAAATGAAAAGAAAGCTCATAATAGGTAGTTTTGTCTCGTGATAGTGAAAGGACCTGTTTTCTTATTGTCATATGACGGCCGTGATATTTTCTAGCTCTGGTTGAGGCTCATGTCCATTCACTGCTCGTTAGACTCGCATTTCTTTCGAATCGGGCTCTCAGGCAGCAATTTGTGCACTTGTGGTAGTGGTTGCTGATGTGTGTTGCTAGATCCAAGTTATCCGCATCCCTCAGGGCCCGAGGAAAATATGCGGGCCGTTAGAGACATCTTGGCGAGCCGAGATTTCGACTATTAGAATTTAATTTATGTGTTTTTAAAACGAGTAGATCTGAGGATTTAGAAGTTAGTGCCATCTTGAGTTCTCCCAAGTGGTTAGCTCCCCATCGGTGTAAAGGGCGAACACGAAATTATTGCGACACATTCAACAGGGCATAACTTTTTTACCATTGGGTAAAAATCAACCAAATTTTGCACACTTTCTCATTGGTGTGTACATGCTGTCAAACTCGAAGTCGTGTTTTTCGATTCAACGAAAATGGAGGTGAACCAACGCGAGTTGAGAGAACAAATTCTTTCCAAACACCTGGAATTTCCTGACCTGTCGCACCGGCAGTTGGGAAAAATGTTGAACATTCACCATTCAACCGTCTCCAGAGTGTTGAAGCGGTTCCAGGAGCGGTTGACGTTGGACCACGGCAAAGGAGCTGGAAGAAAACCGGGACCGGAGAACAAAAAGACGGAGGGAAAGGTGAAGCGGATGATTAAAGCAAATCCCAACGTCTCAAGCCGTGATTTGGCTAAAAAGATCGGCATGTCGCAAAGCTACGTCCAGAATGCAAAGAAGAGAGCTGGACTACATACATACAAGGTACAGAACTTCCCAAACCGCGATGAGCGGCAACAATCGACGGCTAAAACTCGGGCACGGAAGCTCTACGAGAAGATGCTGACAAAATATGGCTGCTGTGTGATGGACGACGAAACGTATATAAAAGCCGATTTTAAGCAAATTCCGGGGTTGGAGTTTTTCACCGGCAAGAGCAAGTTCGATGTGGACGACAAATTTAAGAAGAAGAAAATGTCGAAGTTCGCCTCCAAATATCTCATTTGGCAGGCCATCTGCTCTTGCGGACTGAGGAGAGAGCCTTTCGTGAAAAAGGGCACAGTAAATGGCGAGATCTACAAATCTGAGTGCCTCGAGAAGCGCCTTTTGCCGTTCTTGCAGCAGCACGACGAAGCTCCGCTATTTTGGCCAGATTTGGCATCATGCCACTATTCTAAAAGTGTCCTGGAGTGGTATGAGGCCAATTCTGTCCATTTTGTTCCAAAGGACATGAATCCGCCAAACTGTCCGGAGCTGCGCCCGGTGGAGCAGTACTGGGCAATAATGAAGCGGGAACTTCGGAAGAGCAAGAAGACAGTCAAAGACGAGAAGGACATGTTAAGAAAATGGAAAAAAAAAACTGAGAAACTGGTACAGGATGACACTGTAAAGACTTTGATGGAGGGCATCAAGCGAAAATGCGTTCAATTTTACACTCAAGGCTCCATCGATTAACTTTTTTTTTGATTTTTGAAGTAAATATATGTATAAAACTACCCTAAAATTTTGGTTTGATTCTAAACATTATAAGAAAATTGGCATGACATTTTCGGTGTCGCAATAATTTCGTGTTCGCCCTTTACCCCCATGCCCCGTCTTTTTCATCAGTATGTCGCTAAGTTCGAGATCAAGAGCAAATTGTTCTCCATACCTTGTGTTCTCAATCCCTACCCTGCCATCCATTTGTTACAATTTGTTACGCATAACCTCGAGATAGCCACGAGTAATCGACCCCCGCTTACTGACGTTAGTTTTAAGTAATTCTGTAATCTAAACAATGAATATCGGCTCCGCAAAGCTACGGCAAATGAGCCGTTTTGAGGAAGAAGGGGCAATGTGCTCTTATTGGCTCAAAGGCTTGAGTTGCTCCATTACGGTTCGTATCGATTCCTCGTCTCGAACTACAAGCTGCAGTGATAGGAGCGCGCCTTGCCTGTAGCGTAGCCGATTAGCATAAGTTGAAGCCGTCGCAGAGGTTCTTCTGGTCTGATTCACGGGACGTGATCTGCTGGCTGAACTCGGACCACCACCGATACAGTCAATTCGTCGGATGTATAATTGGGGAGATATTAGAGCTCACCGAGGCCTCAGAATGGAACTGGGTATCGACGACGATCAACGTTGCCGATGATGCCACCAAGTGGCAGCGATTGCCGAATTCGTCGTCTAACGGCCCATGGTTTCGTGGTCCTTCATTTCTCTGGGAGCCAAAAGATAAATGGCCTATCATCAAATCTGATCCCGGATCTATAGCCATAGAGTTGCGATCGCATGCTCTGCTCCATGCATTTCTGAAACCAGTCATCAACGTGAACCAATTATCTCGATGGAAACGTTTGGTGCGACATGTAGCGTTCGTCAGGCGATTCCCAATGAACCGTTCAAGCCGATGCCTTTCCGGACGAGATCCAAATACTCCAAGAAGCGGATCGGGAGCCATGGAGGAGCAAACGAAAACTGCCAAAGCACAGCGCTCTCTATAAGCTCAGCCCCAACATCGATAGTGACGGTGTATTACGCATGCATGGTCGCATAGATGCATGCGAATTTGTAGGAGACGATACGAAGCACCCCATCTTGCTGAATAAATGTCACCACGTAGCCGATCTGATCCTGCTGGATATCCATTCCCAGTACTGCCACCTTAATCACCAAACTGCCATGAACGAGTAGAGAAACGATGGGGTGTACTGATAACATGTATGACCGTCAGAGCAGTACACATTGAGATTGCCCACTCATTATCGACAAGCTCCTGCATCCTTGCCATTCGAAATTTCATCGCTCGACGAGGAATGCCACTGGAGATAATTAGCGACCGCGGAACCAACTTCGTCGGTGATGAACCAGAACAAGTCAATCGAGAGCTTCGCAAATGCCCAA